TCCGGGAGGGCTCGGGCGGCGGCCTACCTCGCGGGGCGGGCGTTGAGCGGGGGCAGCATGGGCTCGGGGGTCGCTTGCTCCCTCGAGGCCTCTCCTCTCCCTTCTCCTTCCGGGCTCCCGGCGGGGTCCGAGGCTTTCCGAGCTCCGCCGAAGCCCCCGGCGCCCTCCCGTGTCCACGGACTCAGCTGCTGCTCCCCGGAGTCGCGGCATGCGGCTGCAGAGGGCGCGGGCAGGCCGGTGAGGCGCTTCCGCCGCTCCGCGAAGGCGCCCCTCGATGCCGCGGCGCCCTCCGCGTGAGCAGGCCCGCGCGGCCCGGCCCAGCCGGGGAGCTTACCGCCGTCCGCTGCTCCGGGCGGCCCGCCCAGCGCCCCGGTGGCCGCGCCTCCTGAAGTCTGGAAGGGGCGCGATCCCGCGGGGCGCTTCCGGACGAGCACGGGTCGCGAGCGCGGCTCTTGGGGCGCAGGGCCGGGGTCGCCAAAGCGCGTCGGAAGGACGGCGACGCGGACAGAGATGTGCCCGGGGAGGCGCTGTGGGGCATCGGGCTCAAAGCCTTCCGGAGCGCGGGGCAGCCTCGAGGGCGAGTGCCCCGTGGCCGCCCGAGCCGGAGGCGCTGAAACGGCTAAAGAAGCAGAGACGCGAGAGCGCCTCTGGCTCAGCCCCGGTGCCCGTGCGAAGGACGGCCGGTGGAGGACCAGGGGCTGCGAGGGGTGCGCACGGCACCCTCGTCCTCGGACGGGCGCGGGGAAAGCAGGATCCCGGCCGGCGCCGGCGAGTGTCAGGCTTGCTGCGGGGAGGCACGGGCTACGGGCGCTGTTCCCGCCGTGCATCCGGCGCCGCTCTGTGGCAAGAGGGGGCCAGCGGCGGCCTTTCCGCCCCCGGGTTAATCGAGCGGCGGCAAAGTCACGACGGACATCGCAGCCGGACGCCAAAAGCGCCAAACGCTCGCCGGGAGCAGCGCCTGCTCCCCGTGCTCTCCGTCCACTTTCCCTGCCCTTGCACCTCAAAGAGGCGGTGCGGGAGGCGCGGGGGATCGGTAATCTACCTGGCAGAGCCACGGCGCAAGGGTGACCGGCTGCACGGAGCCGGGCCCTGTCCGGGTCTTGCTCCCGAGGATGCTGCTTTGCATTGCTCCTGCGGGCTGCGATGACGAGAAGGAGCCCTGCCCGCCAAGGGCGCGGTGCCTCCGGACCTTGGCCGGGGCGGCGCTTGGGGGTCCTCTGGCGAGGGCTGGGTCTGCACTGGGGAGCGGGAGCCTTGCCGCGGCCGGCTCCGGGGAGGACTCTCAGCGTCGGGGGCTGCTGTTGGCCAGGGGAGGCTTTGGGGGCGCGGCATCCTCCCCCTGCCGCTGCTCGTCTGCAGCTGCCCTTTCTCGGCCGGAGCCTTCCAGAGGCATTGGCCTACAACTCCCAGCACCCCCTGGCTGCGATGCATGCTGGAAGTGGTAGTTCCACGCTTCCGCAGGGCGGGAGCGGGAGGAGGTTCCGCTCGGGCCCGGAAGCCGCCGTCGCGGGCGCGCTGCGCAGCGCTCTATGGCGGAAGGGGCGGGGCCGCACCGAGTTGCCGCGGCCGGCGACATGGAGGCTCGCGGCGGCCCTATCCCCCCGGCCGGCTCGGCGTTGCCCTGGGGACGACTCGCGGCCTGGCTGGACTGCGTCTGCGCCGTGACCTTCGACCTCGAGCTGGGGCAAGCCATAGAGGTAGGCGGGGAGGACTCCCCTGCGGAGCCCCGGGGGCGCGGCGGGGGCTGGCCGGAGCCCGCGCCCGGGGCCTCCGCGCCCTCCTCGCGCCTCCCCGCGGGTTCTGACGGCCCTCGCCCCGTGTGCTCCGTTGCAGTTCGTGTACCCGCCGGATTGCGTCCTGGCCGAGAAAGAGGTAAGCGCCCGCGCCCGCGGCCCCGCCGGCCCTCCCGCCGCCTCCAGCCTGACGCCGCTGTCCTTGTGGTTGCTTTGCAGAAGACCAGCATCTGCTACTTGTCCTTCCCGGACTCCTATTCAGGTAGGGGGCGGTGCTCGCGGCTTTCCTGGCTGAGGACCGGCGTGTTTCGGCTGCCACCCCGGACCATGAGCAGGTTTCTCCCGGGGCTCAGGTGCTGCCTGCTGGGTTGCGGGGCAGGCAGCATCCACGGGGCATGGGAGGAACCTTGGCGCGCAGCAGGAGGCTGCTTTGCCCAGGTGGCGTTCCTTCCCCCGCGGTGCTTCTGGAAGTGGGGAGGCCCTAAGGGCTCTGCTCCTTCATTCCCCTTGGCCCCGATCGCCCCAGAGGAGGATTCTGCACTTTTGGCTGCCAAGTGCCCAGGGAGGCCTGGGCTGGTGGCAGTGGCTGCTGCTCAGGATGGCCGGCCTGATGGCAGCCAAGGGGGTCCAGCAAAGCAGCTGGCATGGCTGCTGCTTTTCTCTTGCTGGCTGCTCTATTCCCCGTTCTTTATGGCTGGTCTTTCTCCATCTCAGGCAGCCTAGGAGATACCCAGTTCAGTTTTCGCTTCCGTCGCTCAGGAGGGCAGCGAAGTGCTTTGTTTGGAGATTACTTTGAGTATAACAGGGAAGTTCCAGTATCCTTACAGGTTAGTTGCAGCATGCACTGAATTAAATGCAAAGGGGACAGATGTCTGGATGCAGGACTCATGTCAAGTGCTGCCTTACAACTGTGGGAATGATTGCCTGGTGGTGTGCTTTCAGCCTGCCTTGCGGTAGCTAGTTGGAAATGCTTCCTAGTATACTCTTTGGGGATCGAAAGAGGTGCTGTCAAGAGGTGCACCAGCAGCAGGAGAGGGGCGGGGTCAGGTGGGGCATGCTTGGTTCTTCGGTGGCATAAAGGGGACCAAACTTAAAATTAAGCAGGGAGTGGGGGAATTGCCCTCTCAGTCCCCAGCTATTCTCCAGCATCTCTTTCCTCAGTTAAATTGGAAAGAGCTTCTCAATTTTCCCCTGGGTGAGATGATGTGTAAGACCAAGAATGTGTAGTTTCTTTTTCTGGAAATTGCCGGTCCCCATCTGCTAAATTTTGCAGTGATGGTAGATTACAGACATTGTTGGTATCTGTGGTGAGTTTCTGCTGGAAACAAAGGGCTCCAGAGGCTTGCAGTGTTAGGATCTTCTGTACAGGGCAGGCTTGGAACTGGGACCAGTGTGTAGTTGGGACTGATGTTGGAAGTGGGCAGAGTGCCAGAATTGTTTTTGCTTCTTTTACACAGCGAGAGTCAGCTTATTACTTTGGCTATGTGTACTTCCGGCAAGTCAAGGACAGCTCCATGAAAAGAGGCTATTTTCAGAAGGTAGGTGATATGATACTGTGAGGCATGGCAAGATGGAAACCTCTGACTAACCATACCAACAAATTCTGAGTGTGATTGCATTTGGTCTTGCAGATTGAAGACCACAAACAAGTTAAATGAGAGTATGGCAATGCCTGACTAGAGGAGGCTGAAGGAAAAGCAGCCACTTTGTTCCTCGTGTCGGCTGTTGCCAATCCTGTGTAGAACAGACAGCTTGCGGTGTAGCCAAGCTCATCTCAGGCTGCTCAGAGAAGCTGGTTCTACCACTAGTCTTGTAAATGAGCAGTAGAAATCCAGTGGAGACATAGGGTGGCCATGTCATTGAAATGCTAAGTTAAAAAAACAGGCCAGAGGCAGATCTTTTGCAAACCACCAGAGGGAATATGGAGGGTGGGGGCACAGCACATCAGCGACTGGTCCCTGCCGGGGGGCTTTTTGGGCCTCGACTTGTTGGGCGAGTAAAGAGAAGAAGGCCGGGACTCCTGAGTGCAAGTTTCCCCCCTGCCTGGACTGCGCATGAGCCACAAGAGACCTGGACTGCGGGCTTCCACAGGGTGCAGAGGGCAAGCGCGCAGTGGCAGGAAGGTGCCTGGGGTGTCGGGGCGGATGTGTGCGTGGTGCAGTGGGGCCCTGCGGGGGCCTTGGACCCACAGCGGCTTGCAAGCAGGCCGGGGCTGATGGCCTTCTGGGCAGAGGCCTGGCCGCCTGCAGTGACTGGTGCTCAGGTGGGCTTTGTCTCTCTTTCAGTCGTTGGTCCTGGTTTCCCGCCTCCCCTTTGTGAATCTCTTCCAGTCTCTCCTGCAGCTCATTGCTCCCGAGTACTTTGATAAGCTGGACCCGTGCCTGGAGGCAGGTGAGGAAGCGCCAGCACCTTGAGCCGCGGCACGACTGCTGCTGAGAGAGCCCCCGTTCCGTGGCTGCCAGGGCCGGTTCCCTCCTTGTGCCCACTCCCTTCTCTGAGGTCAGAACCGACAAGCTGCTGCTCAGCCAGCAGCCCAGCCCACACCACACGCCGCCAGCTGGACGCAGCTTGGCTAGCTGGCTGGCTGGCTGCCTCCCACCTGTGGGTGTCGTGTTCACAGTCCCTGGAGGGAAAGCTCAGCCAGCTTTGCACTGGCCTCGTGTGAGTGGGGGAGGGTCCCAGCCCACAACCGGGCAGCATCCTGCCCCTCCACCACTCCCCTCTCAGGAGGCCTCTCCGGGAGCCTCTTGGCTTGCCGCAGGGTGGCAGTCTGGGCACTGCCCCTTCCGCCCTGCCCTGCCCAACTGGCACAGAAAGGATTTCCCAGCTGCTCTGCACCAGCAAAGCCCGTGGCTGCCCCTCGGCCTCTGCACTGGTGCTTGATCGCTGGTTGCATCGGTGGCTCCTGACGCCTGGGTCCTACTTGGGCCGTACTGCCTGGCATCTGTGTGTGAGGAACGAGTGTGCAGGAGCTGAGCTGTGATATGAGCGGGAAGGGCCGGGCCTTTTGGTCGCCGCCTCCCACACTGCTGGGCCGCCTTTGTACTTCCAGTGTGCAGTGAGATCGACCAGTGGCCGCCCCCGGTGCCCGGCCAGATGCTGAGCCTCCCGGTGATGGGTGTTGTCATTCAGGTACGGGCGGAGGGGCTCTGCTCCAGGGGCTGCATGGTGGGGGCGCGATGCCGGGACCCGTGTTCCCCACGGATGCTCCATGTGCTGCCGTGCACTCAGACAAGGCACCCCCGTTCCTGTTTTGCGCTTTGTGGCACAGGTGAGGATTCCCTCCCGAGTGGACAAGCCTGGCTCCAACCCTGCGAAGCCGTCCAATCAGGAGGTGAGAGCTGTCTGGAATTGGGGGTGGGGGACACGCCAAAACGCCCCTTCCCGTGCGAGAACTTTGCTTAGCAGAGGCCAAGGGCAGCCCTTCTTTGCTTGCAGAACGCAGCAAAGAGCTGCCTGGAGCACTGGGGTGCGTGCGGGCCCCGTGTCTGAGCTCTGGTGGAATGTGCCCGGCTCCCTTGAGACAGACGTGTCTTGAGATCGCAGCGCAGTCTTGTGCATGTTTGAACAGGTGGGGCTGATTGAAGCTGGTGGTGCTCCCCTGTCTTGAGAACTTTTGGATTTCCTGATAGATTTGAATGGCCGTGGGTTAGTTTCTGCTTGGGGTGGTCATGGACAACTCCGGGCCGTACCCTCCCAGGCTAGAAGTGCTTCGCATCTCATGTTTCCCCGAAGTGCCACTCCAGCTTCCAGCTCTTGTGTGGTTTTTTTCCCTGAGCAAATTCTACTGAAACTGGTGTGATTTCTTAGGCAGCAAAAGTTTTTTCCAGGTAGAAGGATAGGCTGGACGTCCACATGGTGGGCATATCATGAGCGGAGCCGGCTGGTGCCGGAGGTCTGACTAGATGGCCCGGGAGGCCCTTCTGACTCGCTCTGTTTTCTGTTTCTAACTTTTGTGATTGGCACGAAACCTTAAGATTGCCTTTGAAGCTCAGTTCCAAATTTCGGCATATCTGTCTACCGAATGTGCTTAGCAGGTCAGCTGACTGCCTTTTCATCTTCTCTGCGCAGAACAACTTGCCGGCCCCGCTAGTTCTGTCAAGCATCCATGAACTGGATCTCTTCAGGTGAGAGCTGTGCCTGCCACCTCCTGAAACTACTCCTGGAAAGGAAAGGCTTGTCGGGCACGGGAGCGCTGTCTTCAGGATGACCTTGGGAAGGCTCAGGAGCAAGTCAGAGAGGCTCCTCTTTCCATTCCATGGAGAACCTTTGGGGCACTTGGCCAGCGATCCTCCTCCGTGGCAGGGAGGACCTCGTGGCACGAGGCAGTTCTGCGGGGCTGCTCTGGAAATGGCGTGCGCCGATCAGTGCGCGGAGAGGGCCTCTCCGAAACCACCCCTTCTCCATTCAGCTCCCCAGAGGCTGGGCTGCCCTGCCTTCCGCTGAGGGCCGGCTTTGCTCCAGGAAGGCTAGATCAGCAACAGCTTGGTGGGTTTCGGGTGGGGTCACTGAGCCCCCCCCCCCCCCCCGAAGGTGTCTGAGCCCTTCCTCTGGCCATGGCTGTTAATTCATGAGGTTTTTTCTAGAGTAAAACGTTCTAAGGGGTGAGCAATCAATGTCTTTATCCCAGTTTTGTGGTTAGGTTAAAACAAAGAAGGAAGGAAACCTGACTTGTTGGCATTCCATTTGGAGTGTTGAAAGTATGAAGCGTGTTGGCAGTGAAATGGATTCTCATTCACATTCTGTGGCTTGTATGGGACTGATCCTGATTATCATACCGCTGGCAGACACTCCCTTGACAGGAGCCTTGAGTATTTTTAACAGAGGGATGGAGAACCTTCAAGGTGGGCCAGTTTTGTCTAGTCCATCCAGTGCTCAGGCCCAAGATGAGGCCCACCCAATCCAAAAGCCTTGTCTCCAGAAGGCTGAATCACAGCTGAGTCACTTTGCGTCTCAGGCGCCTTCCCCACTCAAGGAGGGTGACAGAGAGGAAATCTGCCTGTGTGGGCTTTGCTTCTCTCCTCCGTTCCCGTGGGGGGAATGCAAAGAGGAGCCAGGCCTGCTGGGGCTCGCTCCAGGAGGGAAAAGCCCGCATGGTGAGGAGTGAGGCTTCCCAAGGGCGCTGCCAGCTGGAGGAGCACCCATGGGTGCTTTGGCCAGAAAGTCCGGAACAGGGCATGGGGCAGATCTCCTCGTTGTCCCCACCCCCCACCCCGGCACTCGCATCTCTGGTGTAGCAGATGATTTGATGGGAGCAAGCAAGTAAAAGCCAAGGGGAGAAGCCAAAAGTTCAGCCAGAGGCAATGCTGAGATGAGCAGGAGCATCCAGAGGCAGGCGCCTGTGTTCCACTGGAGCCACTGGAGGATTGCTCAAACCGAAGCCCTGCCATGCCCATCCAGCGCGGCCCACGGTGGGGCCTGGGGCAGCCTCGCAGGCCCTGCCCACTCCCGGGTTCCTCCAGCTGAAGCAGCCAGAGCCCTGGTGCCTCCAGGGCTGCTGTTACTCTCGCTGCTCCAGCAGGGCTTTGCGGCAGCCATCTCGGCACTCCCGTGCCTGACCCACACCGGGTGGCCAGAGGAGGCCGCCGAGGCTGCTTGCCCGTGCCGCCCACACCCGCGTCTGGTCTCGTGGCAGGTGCTTCCAGTCGGTGCTGATCCACGTGCAGACGCTGTGGGAGCTGATGCTGCTTGGCGAGCCCGTGGTTGTCATGGCCCCATCGCCGGCGGCTTCCTCCGAGATGGTGCTGGCCCTGACCAGGTGAGGTGCTGGCATGGCGCCATTCGGCCCTTTGGGGGCCCTGCAAGCCGACCCGGCGGTGCATGTGTCACCCCAAGCGTCTCAACAGAGGGCCATTCAGCGCGGCTGGAGGCAGCGCCCACCGGCGCTCATCTGGCGGCTTCCCCCTCTCCTTCCCCAATGGCCCCCGTCAGCTTGCGTCCCCTGCTTGGGCACCGCCCTCTGGTCTTCTAACGGGAGCCAACCTCTCCCTCCCTCCCGTAGCTGCCTGGCCCCTCTGAAGTACTGCTGTGACTACCGCCCATACTTCACCATCCACGACAGCGAGTTTAAAGAATACACCACGCGGACCCAGGCCCCGTAAGTGCGGGCCAGCCGGGCGGCTTCTGGAGTGGGGCGAGGAGCGACCGAGGGTGGCCCCTTTCTGCCCGTCCTTTGCTTCTCCGCAGGCCGAGGGTGGTTCTCGGCGTCACCAACCCCTTTTTTGTCAAGATGCTGCAGCACTGGCCACATGTGCTTCGCCTTGGGGACCTCAAGATGGCTGGTAGGAGGGTGCTCTGGGGCCATCTGCCTGCCGAATGAGGCTGGGGAGGAGCTGGGAGCCGCGGGGAGAGGGGAAGGCAGGGAGTGGCGTCCCTCTTTCCCTTTGAGGGAAGAGGCCGCTCTGTGGGCCCCCGCAGGGGGGCGTGCACCTGCGCCCCACTGCACTCCAGCAGACCCCCACTGGCCTCGCTGCCTCTGCCACAGGAGGGACTGGATGGCGGTCTGCCCCACCGCCCCACCCTGGTTACCGTGGAGCCAGGCCCTGCACACGCTGTGTGTCTCCTTGCAGGGGACCTGCCTAAGCAGGTCAAGATGAAGAAACCTGCCAAGCTGAAGTCTCTGGAGGCCAAGCCCGGTAAGCCGCTCTGCTCCAGGTGGCCGTTTCCCTTTGCCCCGAACGGGGGCTGCGAACCCGGGTGAGCCTCGAGCTGCGTCGTCGGGGGCGTCTCACCAAAAGCGTGGCGGAGGCCCGGAGGTGCGCTGCTGTCCCGGTTTGGGCTGCTGTGCACGGCAAGGCGCAGCGGAAGAGCTTCGAGGGACTCAGCTGCCAGGCTGCGGTCAGCCGCCCTCGGAGGCCCGGTGGCGGGTGTGGGGCTGGCTGGGCGTTGGGGACGCTGCTGCCCCGTTTGCCGAAAGCTTTCTGCCCCTCACGTGCCTTGCTTCCTTCTGCCCTTGCCTGCTCTTCATGCAGGACTGTACACGTCCTACAAAACGTACTTGCAGAAGGACAAGACCCTGATCAAGAGACTCCTGAAGGTGAGCGGACGCTGCAGGCGGAGGGAGGCAGGGGAGGTCTGAGGCGGCTGAATAGTGACAAACTCTGCATGGCCGATCCAGAGCACCGCCCGGGGGCTCCGTGGGACGGCCCGGGCCCCCTCACCCAGTCAGCCAGGCTCCCTGGCCAGGGATGGCCCAACCTGTGGCCTGGAATGCCAGGGACCCCTTCTTAGGTCTGCTTCTGGGTCCCCCCCTTCTGCCAGAAGGAGCAGCCGCGCTGTGCTGTGCCGCAGGCCTCGGAAACCAGGAAACTTGGTCTGGCCCACCTGCGTTCCCGCAGCGGCTTCCCACAGCCAGGCCCCCAGACCCCTCTCGCCCAGCCAGCGCGCTCCTCGGGGCTGCGGGCCCCGGCCTCCCACGCAAGCCTCTGCTCTGTGAAGCCACGCTGCCCCGGGGCATCGTGGGGGAAGGGGGTGCCCTGGCGAGCCAGCCCGGGGGCGCCCTTTTTCTTTGCCAGCTGGGCGGGGCTTGCGTGGGCATCGGGAGCCAAGCGCAGCAGTGCAGCCTCTCCCTTTGCAGGCTGCGAGCTGCTCCCTGGCTGGCCTTTCCTGAGAGGGGCCGCGGGCTGCTGTTTGATTTCCCTGCTTTGCCCAGGCGGCACAGAGCTGCCCCGACTGCCCCGTGACGCGGGCACGTGAGCCCCTCGCCCTCTGCAGCCCCGGCCGGGGTGCTCGTCGGCACCCGCAGGGCCGTTTTGTGCCGACGGTCTCCCTGGCATCCTCTGCAGGGCATCCATAAGAAGCGCTCCTCAGAGGCCCTGAGCGCCCTGCTGAGGTGCCACCTCCTGGAGCTCACCCAGAGTTTCATCATCCCCCTGGTGAGTAGCAGTCCTGGTTCCTTCCAGGGGAGGGCTGCCCCCAGGGGCCACGCTGCTCCTCCAGTGTCGGGCGTGGTGGCCCGTCATGGCCGTGCCCGAGGAGGGAGCCGCCCTCGCACTTTCCTCCCCGCTGTGTTCCCTCTTCTGATGCTGCCCCTCCCTGCTCGGGGGCTGCTTGCCGAACTGCAGGAGGCCGCCTGCGGGCAGAACAGAACTGCTCCTGCTCCCGCAAGGCAGCGCAAAACGGCCCTGACTCTTGCCCTCCCTATACTTCCCCAGGAGCAGTACTTGGCGAGCCTCATGCCCCTGCGAAGGACCATCTCCCCATGGAAGGTGGGTGGCGCCCTGGAGCTTCCCCGGCAGAGCGCCTGCTGCCTTGCTGCAGGCGAGCCGGTGGCGTGGAGCAGGTCTCCTGGGCCTCCCCTCCAGGCGGGTCATGTCCACTTGCCTGGGAAGCCTCCCGGGCCGGGGGGCGGGGTCATGAGGCACGGGGCTGCCCTCCGCGTGCGCACCACGTGCACGCAGGCATCTGACCGCAGCCTCTGTCTCCTGCTCGTATGCACAGAATCCCCCTCAGATCCGTCCTTTCCATCAGGAGGACTTCCTCAAGACCCTCGAACACGCTGGGCCCCAGCTCACCTGCATGCTGAAGGGGGACTGGATGGGCCTGTACAGGTAGGCTGTGCGTTGCACCCCAGGAGGACAACGGTTCGGGGCTGAGCTGCCAGTCAGGAAAGCAGGTGGGGCTGCGCCAGTGAGGGCTGTACGGACACGCCGTGCTAGTGACGGTCGCAGACTGAACTGCTCCTCTATGCAAGCGCCGGGGGCCTTTCCCCCGACGACTGGGGTGCCAGCTCCGTGAGGAGCCCTCAGGCGCGGGAGATGTCTGTGGTCAGGAGTGTTCTTTTACCTGCTCCTGCTGGCTTGACAGCTGCGCCCCTGCCTGGAAGAGAAGGGTGCTGTCTCTGGGAGGGGCTGGGGCGGCATCCAAGCTGCATGCTTCCCCCTTCGCAAGTTGGTGAGAAACATCTCTTGGAACGGATGCAGAAGCAGGAAGATTTGCAGAGGCTAAATGTCTATTCCTTGCCAATTAAACTGGCTGCCCGCTTGTTTCCAGGCCTGTTTTAAAGTGCCGGTTTTGGCCTTAAACGCCATGAGGGGGTTGGGACCAGGCGTTCCCGGTGCCTCTGCCTGCCTGTCATTGCTATGAGATCAGCCTTGGGGCTGCATCAAGAAGAGATGCTAGGCGGACAGTGCTACAGGCAGGGCCTTTTCAGTGCTCCCTAAGGAGTATGTTTGGATCCTTCACTGGAGACTTTTAAAAACTTTTGGGGAATTCATTTTTTATTAATGTGTCATGACAATATTTGTTGTCCATTTTAAGTGGTGCCATGTGGATACCTTTCATTCTGTACAGCTTTATGCATGATTGTTTTGCATGCAACTCATTTTAAAAGGCAGTTTATAGATGTTCCTCTAGAGGGATAATCCCTGTGTGCATTTGTGAGGCTGCAAAGTCCCCAAAGGACTGCGGCAGCTACTTTTCCAGGGTGTCTGGAGATGCCTCATCCGGGAAACTGGAGGGAGCTAGCCCCTTCCCCCCCCCCCCCCCCCCCCCCC